AAATTATATTAATGATAATAAAAAAACTCGAATATATTCTTATGTAATAATTTATTATCATCGAAATAAGTAGACCAGGATATCAAAAGTAAGCAGCTTTATAAATAATAAAAAAATAATATTTTATTAGTTATGAATTAATTAATTTTCTTATATGGGAAAACAGTTATTTGTGTAAAATTTTTGAATTTTAAATTATAGAAAAACGAATGATCTTCAAACCTAAGAACATGATAACAATGGGATGCTGCTTCAGAGAAGAAGCAGCATCCCATTGTTATCATGTAGTAATTGCTTCTTCTTGTAGTAATTGCTTCTTCTCTGACGAAGCAATTACTACAAGCTGCTTGAAACTATTCACATAAGGGTAGAAAATATCAAAGATTTCAATGGTATCATTAACTTTCAGCCGTTTTATATTATATATATATTATTGCCCTGCAATTATTTTCAAGAAATTTGATCTTGAATAACCTTTGACTCATGATACAAATCTAAAAATAAAGTCAGATTCGTGTTCAAAACGTAAAAATTCTGTGAGCGTAGAGTACATTTTAATATGAGGAAAAGGATACGTATTCCAAGTATCTTTCAATCCTTAATAACTAGTTTTTTTCGTCAGACACTTTGAATGACTTTATATTATCAAATTCAAGGTTTCCAATCTTATAATGTCGTAAAATAGCATCCTGCATATAGATCTTCCTAAAGAATATTAGAGTTTAGATATGTTTATGGAAATGTCTGCAATTTTGTGGCTTAAATTACTTCATTTTTAAAGTAAATGACGTCATTAAACAATGTGAATATAAGCTTGTATATGTATATACATGTGTAGACGTGATGTGCAAGTTAAAGCTAAGAATAAAATATTTTAGCTTTATTTTCGATAGATATAAATTTCACGATCCAAAATTGGAAATTTCAAATAATATTTATTTTAATGCAAATAAAATTTGAAGAATAAAAATAAAAGTTAAAAAATTAATTAACTTTATGTGATATTATTTGTTTTACAGTTATTTTAATATTTTATAAATTATGCTTAAGTTTTACTACAGCTTCTGTGTTGATTAATGCAAAATTTGTTTTCTTTGATGTTTATTTGTTAATTTTGGAATGTTTTTAATTGGTTTTCTTATATATTTTTAGGAATATTAGAGAAAACAAACCCTAAATTCTAATTAAAAATGGATCTATTGGTAAAATCAATACTGTAACCATAGCAGTTTAGGTTTGAATTCAAACTTATGCTGCCATAGTTACATTTTTAAAGATTATAATTTAGCTTCTAGCATTTGAGAAGACAAAGTTATAGATTCTGTATTGATGTGAAAAATAAACAAGCGTATTCAATTATCGTTTCGTTAATTAGTTTTAAGAATTCTATAAACTGTAAAAGTAAACAAAATATAATTATTAAAGCTTATCTTTTTGTTTAATTATTAATAAAGTGATCGGCGATTTTAATTTCTAATTATATAAATTTAAAAAAAAACTATAAATTTCTAAATTCATATTATTAAAGAATAATAATTTGAAATAATTCTAAATTTTATAATTGCTAAATAAATGCATTTTTGATTACTAAAGTTTTGATGTTTTTAATAAGCAACTCATACAATTTATGTGAATGTAAATGATATTTTGAAGATGAAATCTTTAACTGAATACCGATAATTTTCACAATAGAACTTGGTATTTTGCCAGAGTTTCTACTTCCATCCCATTTCCGAATCTTATCGATCCCAAAATAAAAGGAAATGGTGAGAATGACTCCAGATGATACAAATCCTCGTTAGTTCCTCTATTCATCAATTGATGCCATCCTGGTAAATACCTCAGTGATAATTAGTCTCATTTGTTATTTGTAATATTTTCTAACTAAAATAATTTGCAAAATGTAAAAATTTTCAAATGAGATATTCCCATTTCTAAGTATATTATTAAGTCCAACCATTATCAAATTAAAATCGATAATATTTTACAAAATATATTGACTTACAACTTTCTATTTCTACGGTGCAGTTTTGTGAATCCAATGGGTAATGGTGCAGGTCCATCATACAAGCTAGCGTTGTTGTAAATCTGTAAAATTTTAATATAAATCTAGTCTATTATGATCTAAATTTAGTATATCTGTACAATTAGAAAATAATATTTAAATATTAAATTAATTCTTACATATATTATTGTTACTCTTTAATAATCACTTTTTCAGCTGTTACGTATAACAGGAGGAAAGTATGGTGATCAGTCAAAAATGACCCCCCTTTAAATATTTTTACATTTTTGCACTCAGATCGAGAAATGCAAACATTGGGGTTTTTTTCCTGTATGTATGAATGTTAGTATATATGAGGGAACACAGTTTTGTTCACCCACTTTGAAGCTTAAACCTCCTGTGTTTTTTATTGAAAATTTCTAAAATTTTGCAGGAAGGTTTGGGTATTAGGGGGACTGATGCTATTAAATTTTGGTGGTTAAAGGTTGAGGAGATGAGGAGATAGATGGGGGTTACATATATTTTTTGCCTGGAAAGTTATGCAACTTATTGCTGGTTTATTTTATTTGCATTCAATATCTTCTTTTTTGAAAACACTTATGAGAAAATGAACTAAACATAAAAACTGACAGGAACGATTTTTTTTTTTAAATTTTGGCTCTATGCCCTGTGGGCATTATGACACCTTTGTTTTCATACAAACTGTGGGTTTGGCCAGGTCTACAATGGAGCAGATGGGTGGTGAGACACAGGGTTCAACATATCTTATATGTACTGTTCATGAAAAATTCCTGTGCTGTTTCAATTGCCCAAATTTGATCCAGAGACCCTCAGAGTAGTAAGCCGACACCTTAACTACCTCAACCATTTACTATCAAGAAAGGCAAGATTAATGTCCAGATATTCTACACAAATCATAAAATGAAATCAATAAAATTAAATTTTTATCAATTAGTAAAGTGAAACTTGAATTTGTATTACTTTTGTACCATATTCTTAACATAAAAGACTAATTTTGAGGAACCTTCCAATCAAGGCTTAGATCAAATGATCCAATTGTCCCTTTATCTCAACCTGATTCAAGTGTGGTATTTGATAATGATAAAACATGCAATCAGTAAAATATATTACTATAACATGCAGTTATATCCCCTCATTTCAACTTTCAGATTATAGTGATTAAATAAATGGCAATGCTTCACAAATTTATATTTGTGTCTAGACTTTACTGTACACAAATATAAATTCATTAAAAAATTATTATTTTAGGATGCAATGTTTTAGGATTATGCAAATCATTTGAATATCTTAATGCATCTAATATGAATTATTGAATATTTTAAACACAAATGGTTCAATCAATATTAACATTAACTTTTAAACTATTTATATTGTAACCCAAGCATTTTATCAAAAATACATTAGATTTTCTTTACGTGTCTTTCTGATTATGAACTCAAGAATCAGCATTAAAATTCATTTTTTATATTTTACTCCATTATACTTTCAACAGAACATAAGATTTGAATTACTTAACTCCGACTTAATTCTTTCAAAAAATTAAGAAAATATGCGTTATATTTTTATCTTCTTTTATTTACTTTATTTGTTAGTTTTAATGGCTGTTGTTTATGCAGATTTTGTTTGGTGAAGTAATCTCTTGTTCTTTGGAACATTACAAATAAAAAGTAAAAAACTTATTTAAATCCTATTCAAAACCGTTGTAAAATTAATTCAAACCTTTGCATTAAGCAGTCCATCTCCATCCTTCATCTAATAAGTGAGATTTGAAAAAAAAAACGAACCTAACACGTCTGCTCAAGAGATACAAAATTGAATACGAGCGCATTGCCTACTAAAATGGCTTTAATGGTGTCAGGCGGAGCTCCCATAAAAAAAAAAAAAAAAAACCATGAAGCAGTGTATCAAAATTTGAATTTGTCACATGCTTACTAAAATCGTTAATAAACGTTAATCAATATTCTCATCGAACTATTTAAGTTACGTACTGTTTATCCATGTTCAAATTACATGAAAATACAAGGAAAAAACACAGTGATTAAAGCTGGTGAATTCAGTTCACTAATTTATAAAAATCTTAAAATAATTTTTATTTTATTATTTAATTCTTGTGTCGAAAAGCACGTACGACAGTTTTTCATGTCTATAGGCCAGGCTCAAAA